CCTTGCTAGGCGAAGCGGCAAAGTTATACTGCAAAGGGGTACGCCTCCAGGAAAGGCTCGACTTCTGGCCGTCTTTGCGAACACCGTACCACAGTCGTGTACTAAGTTTCCTCAAGTATTTGGATCTATTTCTAGACTGTTTTTAAAAAATTTCTTCCAATAATTTGTATTTTTATTTGTGTGCCAGTGTACCTTTAAAATTTTACTAAATATCTGTTAGCTCAATCCTCCCTCATTTTCCTTCTTTCAAAAATTTTTCCTAGAAATTCTCAGATTTCTTTTCTGTATGTTCTTTAGAACGATGTTAGCTTTATGACCAAAAAAAAAGGTTGTTCTTTTAGAGGGATTAAATTTATATGAATATTTATAGAGAATTTCCTATTCTGTGTCTTCTGTCCAAGAGTATGATTTATCCATCCATTTATACAAGTCTTCTTTTATGTCCCTTATTAGCATTTTGACTTTTTTATAGATTCTTTGTATTTCTTCTTGAGTTTATTCATAAGTATTTTACTTCTTTATTGCTATTGTAAGTAATATTTCTATTTTCTAACTGGTTATCACAAAGAAAAGCTATTAATTTTTGTATCCTGGATATGCTATTGTATAATTTTAGGCAAGTGACTCTCTGTAGAGCTTAGTTTCTTTAATTAACCTCATGGAGTTGTGAGGAATGAGACAGCACACACAGAGTCTGGCCTAAAGTAATGGCTCAGTAAATGCTACGTATTATTAATAGTATTATATTAATTTGGTAATCAGCCATCCTACTCAATCGATTTCTCTTGTTTTTACTAGTTTTTCACTTGATTCTCTTGGGCTTTGTGACATACAGTATCATCATAATCTTGATAATTTTCTTATTTCTTTAATTTTTTATATTTCTTTTTAATTGCAATGGCTAATACTTCCAGAACAATAATAAATAAAAGTAGTTACCTGATGGGCATGTTATTTATAACAGGTAAGAATGTTTCCACTGTAAATGTAAATAATGGCTGTGTTAACATTCTGTAGCATATCCACCTAAATAACTGGTTATAGATATTCCTCAATTTGGAGCATTTAGGTTGTTTCTTGGCTTTTTTGCTATTAAAAATAAAGTGAGACATTCATCTTTGGGTATAAATATTTGGGCACATTTTGTATTATTTCAGCCTTAAGTCAAAAATGAACTTCCTAAAATGCTAATGCATGCTACCTTTCAACAAGACTACACTAATCTGCACTCCCATAGTGTATGGAAATACTTTTCTCACTGTACCTCTACTGCCAGTATTCTTGAGAGAAGCAAAATGATGTTTTTGTTTATCTAATTATTATTTAATTACATTTATACATCGGTGGTGGAGTCTAAATTCTCATCTAAAATCTTCAATCTCATCGGCAATGTCATTACAATCATCATTAAAGAATTCTAATTCTCTTTAAGGATTGGCTCTCTCTTAAAGAGAGCTCCTTGGAACAAGCACCAGGAAAGCCTTGATTGCCAGAACCTGATCTGTTAGAACAGGGTTTCTCAACCATGGCACTATTAACATTTTGGATGAGATGATTCTTTTGTGTGGGGGGCCGTCTTGTACACTGAAGAATGTTTAGGAGAATCCCTGGCCTGTACCCACTTGATGCTAGTAGCATCTTCTCCTCAAGTTGTGCTTATGAGAACTGTGCCCAGACATGGCCAAACTGGCAAAATCACTTGCAGTTGGATACAACTGTGTTAAGAGAATGATGTTCTAGGGATCAGAAACAAAGTCCCTGATCATAGACATAATACGATGGTTCAGACACACTTTTATTACAGACAGAAACCAAAGAAAAGGAAAATTAACATGTGGGATAAAATACTCACTTTGCTTTATAAGGTGAATCACAGCCAGAATTTTTGGTTTCTGTTAAACTCTCATATTCCTTAGCCCTGAAGAGAAAAAAGTTTTATCACAGTTAGTTATCTTGCTGCTAATTTTTA